TTCAAGCAATTCTCCTTCCTCAGACTCCCGAGTAGCTGGGATTATAGGCATGCGCCACCACGTCCAGCTAATTTTTTGTATTTTTAGTAGAGATGGGGTTTCACCATGCTGGCGAGGCTGGTGTCAAACTCCTGACCTCGTGATTTGCCCACCTCAAACTACTTTTAACTGAATTTTCCAGGTAACTCTTCCCTTCCAATAGTAACAAACTCTAGTTAGTTACATAAGTTTCTTCAAGGCCAAGTTTTATCATCGTTGCTGATATCCTTAGAGCTGAAGCACTGCTATTTCAATCAGTATCCACCAATTCCACTTCAGAAATGAACTTTGCATTTGGTGGAATTTGGCATCAGGCTGCACTTTCTTTCCATAAGCCCATTCTGCTTCACTCTTCGATTGAGGCTTATCTCTTTTACCCAGTCAAGAGTGCTTCTTCCCATCCTGTGATAACTTTGCCACTTTGACCTTAAAACTTAAAGGCTTAGTATTTTCTTTTTTGAGTTTGTTTGAATGTTAGTATCAAAAGCAGTCCCATCTTGTAGTGTTCCTATATACCAGCCGTGAACAACATCTCCCCATCTCCCAAAAAGGAGAGATGTTATTCACTACTGCTGTTCATCTCCCTTTTTTTTTTTTTTTTGGAGATGGAGTTTCGCTCTTGTTGCCCAGGCTGGAGGCTGAAGTGCAGTGGCGCGATCTCAACTCACCACAACCTCCACCTCCTGAGATCAAGTGATTCTCCTGCCTCAGCCTTCCCGAGTAGCTGGGATTATAAACATGTGCCACCACAGCCGGCAAATTTTGTATTTTTAGTAGAGACTGGATTTCTCTATGTTGGTCAGGCTGGTCTCGAACTCCTGACCTCAGATGATCCGCCCGCCTCGGCCTCCCAAAGTGCTGGGATTTCAGGCATGAGCAAATGCGCCCCGCCTTATCTCCCTTTTTTAGAACAGATTTTGCATATCTTGGTGGACTCTCAGCCAGAGTCTCTTCAGACTTGGCTTCTTTGGGTTTATCTTCATTAAGCGTCACATTTTTCACTTGCAAACACTTACCATATTGGTACCCTTGAAACACTCGGTTTCAAAAAGATGGTTATAGGCTGTAACCAAATGGTCCTTGTTAGCTGTCTTGCCCACATTTTTAATGTTTCCTAATAATTTATGTTCTGCAAGAAACGAATCTGAATTGTGGTCCTGCAGAAACTTGATAAAGTCCTTCTTGGGCAAGTGCTTACTGTGCAGCTGCTCCAGGGTTCACGCCTGCAGTGGAATGGCTGCTGCCATCTTCCCCCACTGCCTGTGCCTCACTGAGCCAGCCGGCTGCAGTTCCCACAGATGCCTTGATTGTGGTATACCAAAAAGCATGCATCGGGACACTGGCTGACCAGAAATGGCAACAGTATGCCTATCGTAGCTTATGTAATTTATGATTAACTATTATCAACTAGGTTAGATGAACCTAATTACCTGGAAGTGAGGTACAGGAAAACTGACCACATTTTTTGAATGGAAGAATTTATGAACCTCTTGTATTTCCTAATCTGAGATAGAGTAGGGCTAGCTATGTCAATCAGCGCAACTCCCTCATTGTAAGCAATGATAATATGTAATTGATTTGGCCATGACAGTGGGTTACAGGGGTGTCCGAGAGAGAGAATACAGTCATGGGTTCTTAGTTTTTGTTTCTGGCTGGGCCACTAAAGCCTATTAAGTTTAGCCTCAAGCTGCCTCCTTACATATATAATTTGAGCCGAAAGATATTTCTGTACATTATGAACTATAACAACTGGAGGTATAAACCAACCATAGCCCACACTTGTGCCAGTCACTAAGTTTTGGGCAAAGAAATGGAGCCAACTGTTTGAACCGTGTTCAAATAAGGCAAATCCAAGCTGTAACCAATCCAGTTGTTTCTATACCTCACTTCCATTTCCTGCAGCTCACTTTCCTTTTGCTGTCCATAAATCTTCCACCACGTGGCTGCGTGGGAGTCTCTCTGAACCCGCTGTGATTCTGGGGGCCTCCCAATTCAGAAATAGTTCATTGCTCAGTTAAACTGTTTTAAATTTAATTCGGCTGAAGTTTTTCTTTTAACAAGCCCCTTCCTCATCTCTCTTGTCTGCTTATCACTAGAGACAGAAACTAAAACTATGACTTCAGGCCGCTAAAAGCCTAAAACTAAACTAAAAACGACAGAAGAAGGCGGGTTGAACAAGCTTGAGAGGGACATAGATGGTCATTCCACTAGGGCCAGCCATGACTGTATTTCCTATGATTCTAAATGAAGCCAAACAGCCTCAACTATGGATGACCTCAGTGTGCTTTTCAAACGGATAGTGTCAAAATGACAGAGGAGTTAAGAAGAAACTACTTAGGCAGCTGGTGAGGGTATGGGAGTCCTCAGTAAGGTTTTTCTTTTTAACGAAAAGCAGCCCTCAAATCATTTTCTAACAAAGAGCAGCGTGTAAAATCGAGCTGCAGACAATAGAAGATAAGCTGCAAGCTTGCAGGGGTGAATACCGGCAGGAAAAAATCTACCTGGGACTAGACATCTTCAAATTAGAGGCCTCAACTTCCCTTTTCTTTGGCAGTGGCCTGGTCAAGTGGAAAGGTCATTTGCATAATAAGATTAGGGTGGGGTAGCCAGTCTTCCCCGCCCGCTATGTAAATGTCACACCTGATCCGTCCAATCTGTGGGCCCTATGTAAATCAGACACCGCCTCCTCCAACCAAACTATAAAATCCAGCGCACTCCACCACCCACGGGTCTTTCCTTGCAGAAGCCTCTCTCTCACTGGACAGCTGGTCTCCTTTCTCTTTCTTTTGCCTATTAAGCCTCTGCTCCTAAACTCCTCGTGTGCGTTCCTGTCCTAAATCTTCCTGGCGCAAGATGACGAATCCTGGGTATTTACCCCAGACAACGAAGCCGCTTCAAAAAGTGTTTCGATCAAGATTAACCTTATTTGTATTGGAAGTGTAGTCACACTGACACCATGTACAAAAACAGACTGATGTTGAGAAGCCAGAAGAACAGAAAAAAAAAAAAACCAAAAACAGGTTTACATTGATTACAGATGGACTCTGTTTTACTCTCAAATAGAAATGATTCCCCTCATCTCTTTATTTCTATGCTTCCCTTCCCCCCTTCCCACTCCATGTTCCCCTCTTCTGTGGAAGGATGTAGTCCAAAGTGAATCAGTGGAGCCCTATGGCAGTTCCTACACACAGTATTCACGTAGCAGCACTAGCAATCTGCCACTCTGCATTAGAGTGAGCTTTTCTGTGCACTGTGTATGTGTATTATAGCCCATCTAGAGTGCAAAGTTTTAGTAGACTCTATCTTTTTGTACCGTATTCCCTTTAGTGGTTACTGCCTAAGAACAATAGTCAGTAAACACTTGTTCATTGACTGGATATTGTTTACTATCTCAATTTATCTTAGGAGATAATATCTCAGAACCAATCCTGAATGTGGGGGGCCCCTGAACGTGTCTTGTGGAGGGGCTGGGAAGTGGCTTTGTTAGGAAGGCATGTTCCTGGAGAATGCAGTAAAATGAAACTGGCAGTCTTCCATTAAAGCAAAGGATTACAGTTTTTTTAAACGGGGGTGCATCTGGGGGCCATGAAAAAGACTGAGGGAGTAACAGACGCCTCAGACTGGTGGAGACCCATTACTGGAAACCATCACTGCTAGAGTTTGCCTCAAGCAGTACTTGAAGTGTCTATAGCTAATGGATTCTGAAGCAAAGGCTTGAGAATTATCTTGAATAGATTGCCATAATGCTTAAGAAACTTTGTGAATTAACAAAATTGCACTAAACATTTACATTTTCAAGATAT